GCTGTTAGACAGGTTAATGGAATCACCTATTGGTTCTAGAACAAGGTGTTGTCATCCTTTGGCATTTTGTTACATTTATGGCAAGGCTTAGGGTTCTCATTGCCCAGCATAACAGATCTACCACAAGGCGTTTACTGGAGAACAAAGTTCCTCTGTTTAATACGTAAAACGTCTAATGTGCATGAACATTCAAAAGTAAAGCTTTTTATGATTCTTAGAACTCATGACAAGTTAGTGTTGAATTTATCTTGATTTGGTATGAATACCAGAATATCCGATGTTTATTTTATTACTCGACTTTGAAATGATCATTGTCATTTTAGACCTTTCTTATCTATCAGCGCGTAATATAGCCCATTTAATTTAGTCATAAAACATGGAGTTAATAGATCGATTTATGAATAGCACTACATGCACTGAGAAACAAGATATTAGCTTCCCGATGCGAGGCTCAAAAGGTCAACGAAACTGCAATCAAAACAACTCAAAAAACAGTAATAAAATACACAATAGCCTCAAGTCTTACCTCAGCCTTTTCCTTCGAAGGTACCTGATTTTCTTCTTCACTCGGTTTCGACAGGTTTGTCACATCAACGGAGGCTGCGGCGGAGGTAGGCAGGTCCGACTTTTCCTCATCGGGTTCGGCGGTCCCTTTATCAGCATCTTGGGAGCTGTCATCAGGCTCTGGTTTGCCATCATCTAGCGTGATTTCTGTGGTATCTCCGATGTTAAAGGGATTGGAGTCTGCGACCTCGTCCGTCTTGGTTTCGGATGTCTCAGCATCATCGTCAAAAAGAGCAGGAGGTTCTTCATGGTCGTCCGCCATCTTTACTCTCGATTAGTGTCACGTGGGTATAGCCTCGAGTGCGTGTACCAGAGGCGAATAACCACCCCACCCCCACTTTGTATTTAACTCAAGATTGCGTGACGTAGCGTTTTATAAGGTTGGGAAAAACGCAGTAGCCTTCAGAATTTCTAAAGAGTTTCAGTTTGGGCAGAAGTGTACATATTAGGGCCATTTATACGAGGAAAAATAAGACGCGTCTAACATAAGACGCGTCTTAAATAAGACGCGAACTTTCCGTATAAACGGCACATTTCGTCTAAAATAAGACGCGGCTTAGCGAAGACGCGTCTTATTAGATAAGACATGCTCGTATAAATGGTACAGTTCGCGTCTTATTTAAGACGCGTCTTATGTAAGATGCGTCTTATTTTTCCTCGTATAAATGGCCCTATTGTGTCCGGCGATGTTGAAATATGTGAGTAAATCTTTCTAATTCCTGTGGTTCTAAACTACCACCAGTCCACGCCATGGATAGAAATCCATGGTTCACAACATCCCTGAGTACAGTTCTTGTTTCTTTCTGTAAAAGCTATTTGCCGCTGGGCAAAAATCACTTTGTGTAACCCCACCTATTCTTTCTGATCGGCTTTGGTTCAATGCCTAAACCTCCCACCATCCATGTTACGCAAAAAAAACAAAACATATACGCACCCATCTTGCCCTATTATGTTCCCCAGGTTTCGGGTGGGTTAGGGGGAGGGGGGGGAGGTAGCCAGTTTACTTTTGACATCCATTGTAGCCTTAAAACGTTTATTCACTAAAAATTATATTAAATCAAATCGCAAGTGGGAGCGACTGATCAGCTTTCAGAGCGTTAACATCTCATTTGATAGCACTCAACCTTGGCTGACACGGAAGTAAATAGCACCTATTAAGCCGGTTGAGGGTCACTGAAGTGGAAGAACTTAAATTGCAAATCGGCCCGATCTGGAAACGAGTTTATTAGCAATAGGTATAGAAAGCTACGAGATCATACTAAGTCGACGCAATGTTTTCGTAGTATTTATTACAGAGATACATTATCCATAACTAAGTCAAAGCTATCCCCTGGCCGTGTGAGAAATCAAAAATTAGGGTTTGTTGACTTTGTCTCTTATCTCTAGGTTCCACATAATTTTCTTCCAGCTTTTGATTTTCAGATCTCGCAATTTCTAACATCTTTCCTTAAGAAGTAATTAATTACCTTCTCGTTCTCTATGTCAAGTGCGTCGTACCCAGATTTGTTGTCGAACCCAGTTCGTCGACAAGAGATCAGGGTACAAGATTGGCCGGCGAACTCACAGAACTCACTGTGATAAAAACCACTATACACATGCTATGAATTAAAAAAACAAAAAAACCCAACAGATTTTAACACTACTGCAACACAGTTTCTCTTGTGTCTACCTAATAGAACTTATGGGAGTTTATAGCATCTAACAGACTTCGATTTTCAATAAAAACGATAAAACTCGGGGAGAGCGTGGTATAGAATTTTTTGACATTCCAATACTCACTTTCAGTTTTCACAAAGTCTGTCAATGCGATTTATAATCACTAATCCGACAACTCATCTGAAAATTCAAATTCATCAGAATCGTGCAAACGAGCGAGCCGGGCTGTGGCATTGTTAATCACATCTTGTCGTATTCTCCAGTAAGGAGGACAAGCACTTCCGTAAATCTCAACTTGAGTATGTCCTTGCGGTGTCACTAAGCCCAGGGCGAAGTAATCGTCTAGAAAACTAGCATGCTCCAGATAATATCGAAACAAAACGTTTGATGAGTCCACTTCAGAAATTACGAAGAAGTAAAGTTTAACAATGCTATCGTCATCCTCGTGGAACATAACTGGCTTGAAGTATTGTCCTCCCGTAAGCAGGCAAGATCCAATATCAGTGATTTCTCTGCCAAAAGCATTGATCCTTGCAGCTTCGAAAAAATCGTCTCCGAGCGTAGTTTTTAACAACAAGATGCTTTTTACAACTTTTTCCGCGTCGTGATGTTTGTTTTCTCTAATCAGCCGACTCATTTCAATAGTAGCTGCATTTAGAATACCAACAACTTTTGATTGGCAACTTTCAAGTTCTGCCTTGGAGTTCAGTCCATATAGTTTATCTTTCAAGCTCCTCGCGTGTTCAAGTTTCAACAAAAGTGTTTCCAATCGGTTATCCGTTCCCATGTTTTGATCTTCGTGTTTTGACGCTGGGACATTTCCATTATTGTGATTGTTTGTTAATTCTGAATTATCACGAAGCAGTGGAGTGCTGTCAAGATCGAGATCTATCTCGCTGTCTGCATCGTCATCGGACGGCCTACTAGGAAAACAGCCCATGATTTCATATACCTTAATACCTTTTGGTGTTAAGAGCATTAGATACCAGCAGATTCGATAGTTGGTATATTTTTGGTTATTGAAAGCTTTCAATGGAAACTGAAAATGAATTGATGCGTAACTGAACTGAACTTACGTAAACGAATGTAATTTGAATTACAATTGAGCGATTAGTCAAAACCAATCTGTAGTCTCTGGGGCTTTGAGAGTAAAAGGCCGAAGTCCCAAAAACCGGTTCGAGGAAAATCCACTGAAAAAACCTCTTATTTTCATTAATAATATTAATAAAAATAAATGATAAAAGCTTAAAAAATTTCTCAAGCTTCTAGCTTAGCACCAGCAAGTGCTGAAACTAATCGGGGAGACACAAGCTTGTTTGCTCGTCTAAGATATCTTAAATTAGTAAAATCCAACTAGTGGTCTATTATCAATGCTGCGTTCTGATTGGTTGAGTTACTACTAGGCTATATGTTATAGCCCACTAGTAGCGAAAAGCGCCGGCTTTGAAGACCGAAACAATGGCTGCTGAATCACGTTTTGCTAGCTAAAGCTGTTTAAAGCTGTTTTGTCTTGATATTTTTGACCAACTAGTTGGATTTTACAAAAACAATTATTCCTCTCGCCCTCAAGGCCTCTGAGTCAATAGCCCATTCGGCCAGCATGGGCTATTGACTCAGAGCCCGAATACTCAGAGCTCATTCGGGCTCGAGGAACAATTGTTAAATATCTCCGAGTCTTAATTGAAACAATTTAAATTTTGGAAAGCAGCAAGTTGTCCGGACCTGCACCCACTTCAGTGTCTGCATTTGTTGAACCGAAGAAGAAAATTAATTTTTGGTTTACGTGTTAATGACGCAACGTTAGATTATTTCCAGAAAGCTGTTTGTTCATTCTGACTTGTTCTGTAAGCCCAGCCAATAATATCAGCTACATTGCAGGATATCCGGCTACTTCATTTGCATCTCGTTTGATAACTCTACATTGAGATTTAATCTTTTTAAATTCATTTGTTTCGCTTTTTAATTATTTTAGTAGTTCCCAGGAAGACAGATCCCACGAGATACGAAGTAATCCTTTTTCGACAACGAGGAAATAACGAACCGAGAAAACGAGGCTGAGCTCTTGAAAAAGCAGCAAGCGACCCAATGCCGAGGATACAACGATCAAAAGTCTCTACCCCAGGATAGTTTCTGCTGACCAGCAAGCGCTTTCTGGGGTAGTGACTTGTGCATAGATAGCTCATTGAAAAATGAAAAATGAAAATCTGTGTTCAATTTTTATTTGTTTTAGGAATTAAAAAATTAAAAAATTAAAAAATTCAAATCTATGTTCGATTTCTTTTGTTTCTGAACATAGAAAAATGAAAAACTGTGGTGAATTTTCATTTTTTTGGACTCAAAACGGAGATACAAACAGATTCCCGCGCAATTGCTGTCATTTGCTTCATTAAATCAGCTTCGATCTTGTTCGAATATTTCTGTCGCAATAGAGGAAGATTATATTATTTTAAAATGAAGAGTAGAAAGACGAGTGAAAAAAACGCAGGTGACAGCGAAGTGATTGGCACAACGGTTTGGAATAAGTCCTGCCGCAGATTATTGTAATTGAGCTGATGTTTTCCATGTGTTTTCGCAGCGAATGTATGTGACAACTATGGAGAAACTTGAAAACATCAAAAATGTTCTCAGTCAAAGCCTTATACTGAAACCCTCCGTGACCACTTTTTCGGCTGACAGTTTTAGAATTTTCTACCGTTTTAAACCTCCGGTAAGCGACCACTTGACACATGGTCTTACTAAACGGTCCTAAACAGTGAACATTGTAAAAATGGACAAAAAGGAATTTATTCTTTGGCTGTCATTATTGCCTACACATCTATTACTGTTTTTTTTTTTAGTTCGATCTACAGCTATAATGTTAGCCATTATCCTTGAGTTCCAGGTCTCACGATCAGTTTAAGAAGAGAAGTTTTTGTTCGTCAGACGTTTCAGGGACATTTCTGTACAAGAAGTCACGCCCACAAGTAAAATTTTATTAACCACCAATTTATAGCGTGATTTTTCATTTTTCAACTTGCAGAAAAAATGAATGGCACTAATACACGAATTCGAAAAGCACCTGAAAAAGCCCTGTAATTATCATCTAGCTGAACTGCATTTGAATGCGTTCAGTTTTTTTTTTTTTGAAGTGAGCTAAGGAAGAAGTTGACCGAAACAAGGTAAGAATTATTACTTTATTGTCAGATTGCGCATGGGTAAAAGGCATATCAGAGATAATGGTTCAGCATCCTTTCATTATAAAGGAATCTTCTATAAGAAGAAAGATAAGTCAACTGGATTACGAAAAAGAAGAACGTGTAAATGGCACTGACGACATTTTGATAACAGGCCGGGCGGCCTAAGGTCTCGACCGTAACTTTAATATAAGCGTGCGCGGCAGCGTGAGCAGTCTATTTGGCTTGGAATCGCTTTCACCTGGTTTATTTTCAAGAGCTTCCTTAAATACAGCAGATCTAACGAGAGTTATCTCATTTACGACGGCAGTGGATCGAGTCATTATAATTATCGAATAAACAAAAAGGGGCTCAGCATTTGACAGCTTAGTCTAAATGCATGGATTGTTATAAAAATTTAAAATCTCAATTTAAAAGTTGTGCAAAAAAAGCTTACTGTGAATTAGTTTGCGTTGTTAAAGAAAGTAATTGTTTAGTTCAGTTCTGTAAACAGGCCAACTTGTTATAGATGTGCCGTAGAAGTCGGGGAAGACATCGTTTTCTAAACTTGTTAATGAAATCTTAAGCTTCTACAGCGGAGATACTGAAATTAATGTCCTACCGATTTTTAATTACATGGCACAAACAAAGAAGTAAAATACGTTAAACAATCAATCTGCCAGAGAGCTTTGAAACAGTAACCATAACAAAACCGTAAAAGGCACACCAGAACTGCATACAAAATCAAAGACTAAGTTTGATTAGTTAAGTTCATTACGAAGACTGAATGCACTTTATCAGTAAAGACGGTTTTCATACACGAAATGAAGTGATAACAAGTTTAACGCATTGCGTTCGGCAACAGACAGTTTCCATAGAGTTTTCAGCGGTGCAACACCATAAGTCGTTGATTAAGAGAATGATTAAGAGATGAAAATGAACACAAGTCCTTTAGCCTAGGCCTAGAGTGTTGATTTTCAATTTTATATATACAGTTTCATTATAATATCGAATAGATTGCAAAATATGAATAATAGATTTTGGTAAACTCTTTTTTTTATAAGAATGTTGTTTTCCCGGCGAAGGCTGAATATTCTTATTTTTTCGCCGATTTTAGGCTGAAAATATTCTTATGTTATTCTTAAATTAAGCTTATGACATTTCCGTTTTAGAAGATATTGTTTAGTGCGGTTTTTTCGTTTTGTTGGCTAGTGTTGCCAGAGAGGAAAAAGTTGAAAACATTTAATTGTATTGTATTTACAGATTTTCACCACACAAAATTATATCCTTTTCAAAATCTCAGCCTGGGGTTTATTCTTAAAATTTTCTTAAAATGTCGCAAATTTCAGCCTCGATATTATAAAATATATTCTTAATTATAGGAAAAAAGAGTGTAAAGCTATTGAGACCCCTTGA